CCATAACGTGAAAGCGCCGCTTTTCTATCGCGAATGTGCCGAATCTGCCGGATCTGCTATAACCGCTAATGATAGAGAAGGGGAGGGGGAGGCCGGGGGAGAGACGAGCTCTCTTGCCTCTCTTGCCTCAAAAAATTAGCCAATCACCATCGAGTGTTTACTTTCAGGATTTGAGACTTTAGTCTTTGCAACTTTACAGATCTTCTTTGTGCACCAAGATCTTGTAACACTCCAAAGAGAAAGGAAAAATTGAAATCGCATCATTTGACCCTTTTAAGATTCCCGCGGCTCTTTAATGTAAGTTTCAGGACACATGGTCTCACTCTTCTTATTAATTACAAACATAAACTGGATACAAACCCGGCGTTAGATATGAAAAACTGATCTGAGGCCAGCACAAACCTGTTTTTTAACATGTGAAGGGTTTCATCAGATGTGACATATGGCTGAAAGGCCTCATGACAGACAGCAATGAGAATGTGAATACAGCTGAACTGTGTTTTATTGTGTCTCCCAAATCAATGCACATTTCCCATACAAATTCCCATTATCATAATGCAAAAAAAAAAAACTTTGCATTTAATTCTGCCAGAAAACAGGCTATATAAATAAACAAAAATAGTCTGTTTTCTTGATAAATTAAATGCAGATGCATTTTTTTATTTTAGCAGTATGGGAATGAGAGTTTGTAGCAGAAATGTGCCTATAATAATAATAATAATAATATTAATGCAGACATAGTTTATTTTCTTTCAAAATTAAATGCAAATGCATTTATTTATATTTTTGCATTATTTGAATGAAAATTTTTAGAGGAAATGTACTACTACTACTAATAATAATGCAAATACGTATATTTTGTCATGAAATTAGATGCAAATCAAATTTATTTTTTTTGCATTATGATAATGAAAATTTGTGGAGGAAATGTGCTTATTATAATAATACAAAATGTTGTCATTTTATTGCAAAATTAAATGCAAATGAATTTTTTATTTATTTTGCATTATGATAATGAGAATTTGTAGCAGACATTTGCTAATAATAACGTCTCGGTTACGTATGTAACCCTCGTTCCCTGAAGGAGGGAACGGAGACGTCACGTCGGATGACCGACGAATTGGGATCTCGCTTAGAGGGACCAATCTACTTCGAGTGTAAACTAAACGAGCCAATGCACATTGGCATGCGATTATTGCATCCAGCTGCTGCTGATCACAGCGTGAGTATAAGTAGGCAGCAGATGCAGCGCATATTCAGGTTTTCGCTGAGGAGCTGAGCCGGTGACCCGGCCGCTCAGCGGTGGTACAGGAGCTGTGGCGACGGGACGTGGGAACGAGGGTTACCATACGTAACCGAGACGTTCCCTTTCAGTCGGTCACTCTCGACGTCACGTCTGTGGAAGCCACCTGCGCCCCTACTTTTTGGCGTAGGCCAGGGCTTCTTCACAAGAGGACCAGCTACTGCTGCTATGGCACTACCCACTGAGTAAGACTGGATAACACTGGGAAACGTACCCGTTCTACTTGGAACAGGGACGTTACGGAAGCTCGAACCTTCCCGAAGGGGGTTTCGGAAGCAATACACATATGAACATCCCTTAGGTGCATATGGAAGATTGATTGTAACCCTCTTGGAGTGGCAGAAGTCTGCCGGGGAAACACGGGCTCGAGGCTATACCGTGGACTTTACACATATGAGATCCACTTGGGTCTTACATATGGAACCCAGCC